GACTTGTGGTACTCCCAGTGAAAAAAAAATGAACGTGATTCCACAAGTTCTTGCGTGAAAATATTTTTTGATTGGGAATTTCAATGTTCATTTTTCGGTGCGAAACTGTAATTCAGGTCAAAATTTTATTTCCGAACTATGTAAAACGTTTTTTTCCGCTGAAAATCTATTATTCTGCTGAACTTTCCGTTCAGGATTCTGCGGGATATATTTTCTGCAGAAGTCTTCTTTATTCTGCTTAGTTTTCTCTTTCGGAAATCTGCAGAAAACCTTTTTAGGGTAACTTTTCTTTTTTCTGCATTATTCCCTTAAGATTCTGCGCAATATTTTGTGAAATATTTTTTCGTTGAGAATTTCAATTTTTCGGTAGGAAACATCAATTCACGGCGAAATTTTTTTCCAAACTACGCAGAATATTTTTTCTGCCGAAAAATCTATTTTTCCATTAAACTTTTCGTTCAGGATTCTGCGAGATATTTTTTCAGTAGAAATATATCCCAAAGAATGCAAAAATGCTTACTCTACACTATTTGCTAAATCAATAATATTTCAACTAGCAAGATCACTGATCAAAAAACAGGTGTTTGTTAAATTTTTAGAAGGCCAAGCAGCTATATTAGAGTCAAGCTCTGTTGTCATGTATACTGTCATCTTTACACCAAGGAATGCAGTTAACAATCAAGCTTGTTTGTCGATTAATCTTAATTAGTTCTCGTCAATTTTTCCCAAATTCTTGTAAATCGTAATCAACTAATAGATTAAAAAATATTCCGAAAAATTGTTAAGGTTTATTTCAAACAATATTGAATGAAGAAAATGCTAATAGAATTTTGAGCGCTAATTGAAATGAGCAAAATGTTGCTTCATCTCGAAAAACTAGTGATCGACTATAAATGTAACTTAATGATCATCCAGGTAACCTATAATCTTCGCGAGTCCGCTGTAAAATCGGTCAATGTGTCCGTCCGTTTACACGAGAACTCTTCAGAATCTGAACCCAGTGTGATGAAACTTTGTACGGACAATCGTCTCAACAACATCTCGATCGAGTTGGAAGATGAGAATGATTGGTCAAAAGGTACTTGAGTTATAGCAAAAAATCTCATTTTCTTACATGCTTTCTTATCAGACAATAGAGGAGCCCACTAACTTTGGAAAAATAATGTTTTTTCTAGAGACAAAATTGATCAGATTGATGAGTGAGGTCTTAGTTGTGTTTCCCGACACAACGTTTTCCATTCTCACTCCTACACTGCCTCCTCTCCATAGGCCTTTTTTGGCTCCAGGCAGAACTGATAAGCTTGACGGATTAGGCCGAAAAAACTATGTCTCCCAACATAACAGTTTTCGCATCTCATCCCGTGGAGCTGAGGATTCTTGGGGCACATTTTTTATTTATTTATCAAATAGCAGATATCTGTTTCAATTTGAAGATTGTGCAAGCCTAAGTCCAAGCTTTTCTTCATCCAAAAAATAATTACATTAAAATGTGGAGACCTGGATTTTGGCTAACTTGGTCATCTCTAGTTTGAAGAAAAATGTCTGTCGCTGGGTGAATATTTATTGAGAAAGAGTGCTTCGTACTAGAACGTGATTATTTATGCCCATCATTATTATGCATGAACAACAGTTTGCTGAATATCTTTAAACCAAAGTCTTTCAGTTAAGAATCGATGATTTGTTAACGCCAAAACTTCAAATAGTAAGGCTCAATGTACAAATAACAATTATCATTGCAAAAATGTTCAGTGAAAAGTCGTTTAAATATCTCTGCAACATCGTTACCAATATCATTGTTATGGTTCTGCGAAGAAAATTGAATAATCGATAATGAGCATATTTTATTTACTAGTAATAATTGAAGACTAGCTTGGATAGTTTGAATCTTAATTATGTTTACAAAATCTTGTTTTAATATTTTAATATTAGAAAAATGTTGAAGAAATTGAAGTAAATAATTGTTATTGTTATCATCATCATCAATCTCTAAACTCGTTAAATGTAATTCAATAATTTGTTTGAACCTCAGAGTCTTGATAGGGATGCACGAGAGATTTTTAATGATTCGATATATACTAACATCGTCAATCTTCAGATTACGAAGGTTTGGTAACATTGAAGAAAAATGTTGTTCAAATAGTTGCTGATTTGAAGCTAAATATTTACAAATGATTGCGTTTATATTTTTAAGTATAAACAACGGTTCATCAGCGTTTATCAGTACTCGACAATTGTAAAGATAAAATCAAAGACATGTCGCATTTCTGGACGCTTTTAATATTCGATATTCTAATGGTCTAAATAAATCAAATGCATTTGGTGTTACCATAGAAGCATTTGACAATATATCCGTATCAAATTGAAATGTGCCATCGTTAAGATTATTATCAAAATTCGATTGATAATTATCAATGGCATTCGATACACAATCGATATCACTAAACACAAATGGTAATGAATAGAGATAAAAACTAAGATTATACGCATCTGTATAACATATAACGTCCTGTTTTCATTTTAATACCCAATATTCACTTTTAAATGATAATATGAATGAATTATCTTTTTGTTGTCTTTTATAAGGAAAACGAAAATAAAAATTGAATTCCATTAAATTTGATAATATCGATAATAAATTAATTTCCATACGTTGACCGTCAATAACAGAGGACTCAGATAAATAACCGATTGTACTAACGAAATAATATGGCTAATTAATACTTCAATTAACTGATAACCATTCGAAAATGGAATCGGATTAAAATGTAGTTTTAAGTTGGTCAATGAAGGAATTTTCGTATGAATTATATTATAATTATAACTCATGATCGGCTTAGAATCAAAAGCAAACAATTTGAATTTTATATTTAATTGTTTAATATGCGGTATAAAATCCAATAAAATCAATAATTGACTGTAAAACTCGAGTTCAATTGTTAAAACTTGAATAAAACAAGTTGATAGATATTGTGTATTTTTCAAAGAGAAAATTCCATTTGTTATTGAACATTCTTCTAATAAGAAATTATTTTTATCAAAGATACATCTAGTGATACTGTTAGATAATGAAATATGTTCATCCATTGTAATAGTCAAACAGTATAAATTTTGTACAAGTTTTTTTTGTATAGTTTTAAATCTTGTTCCTGCCTACAATAAAAGTTTAAATATTTTAAATTATTAAATGAATTAAGATGTTTTGAAAATAAATGAAGTTGTTCGGTTGAACAATGTTCATCACCTAATTTTAAAGAAATAATGTTCAAAGCAATTGACGGTATTATAGTAGAAAAAAAATAATTAAAAACTTTATAGGATATACGTCTAAGATCAATATCACATAATAATTTGCAAGTAATCGATTAAAACGTCTGTTTTGATCAAAAAATAAGTAGAGAAATTTCAATTCGTTCAATATAATCGAAATTTCTATTAGAACATCATTTGATAATATTTCAAATCTAGTAATCGACATTCTAAATGATATAGAAACCATGTTTATGTCTGCATGAAATCTGCAACTTCCAATAAAACAATTGAAATTTGTTCTTTATATTCCATTCATATGAAATCAAATAAAACAATAACTTGATTTGTGCAGTCGAGAGAAAGCTAATTAAAGTTTTGTTTAACCGAATTTCGAAACAGTATTTGATCCTAATCCATCAGAAATACATGAGTAAAATGTTTTATTAGAGTGGGTTATTTAACCCTTTCAGTCCCATAGTATAAAAAAAAGCTACACCTGTTTTGCAACGCTTTTTTGCAATGTAATTAATGAAAATCTTTGCAAATTCTTTTCAAGTATAGAAACAGGGAATGTTCTAGAAGGTTCCTGCACAGTCTGATGATAAGTTATATCTTGTTTTAGCGAGAAAATTCTAGAATATTCACGGCGAATCGTTGAGATGTGTATATAAAGGCTATGTTTGGATTGAGATTCATTTCAATAAACTACCAATATCGAAATAAAGTCAAGGATTCTTTCTATTTTATTCGTCAACTGCGAAGTCTATTAGTCGCAGAAACCAATGAATTTCGATCAAGAAAGTGAGACAAGTGTCTCATCTTTTGATGACGGCAGTGATATTAGTGACGATACTGAAAGTGACGTGGAAATGGATGAAGAAAGCAGCGTTGTGGAAAATAAAGACGAAGAACTTGAATGGAATTGGAGCGAAGACTTTATCCCAAGTACAAATTTTTCTTCAGCGGAAATCAAAGGATATACAACGATACCTCTTACAGAAAGCGTCGACCCAATCGATATCTTCAATAAATTTTTTACCACGGATATCATTGATATGATTGTAACGCAAACGAATGTTTATGGAGAGAAGAAATCTTTAGCGAAGGGATCACCAAATAATTGGCAAAAAGTGAATGAAAATAATATTCGGTGTTTTCTTGGTGTATTAATTATTATGGGTTTACATCGAGTACCTCGGCTTAGAGATTATTGGAGCAGAAACAAAGTATTCTATACGGAAATGATTGCCAATGTCATGCCCAGGAACGAATTTTATCAATTGTTCTCTGCATTACATTTGTGTGATTATGCGAAACAAAGTCAATTGACAATGACCTCCAAGGAGTACAAGTTATTCAAAATTTTTGACTTCATGCGCTTGCTGAAAAGAAATTTTCAAGAAAATTATGTCTTGGGAACTAACATTTGCATAGATGAGAGCATGATCAAATTTAAAGGAAGAAGTTCCCTGAAGGAATACCTACCGTCAAAACCGATCAAAAGAGGATATAACGTCTGGTGTTTAGCAGATTCCTTGGCTGGATATCTTTATAATTTCGATATCTATACCGGTAAACAAGAAACTAGACAGGGCACATTGGCTAAAGATGTCGTTTTACGCATTGTGGATAAATTCGAGCTGAAAGATCATCAATTATTTTTCGACAACTTCTTCACAACTGTTCCTTTGTTATTACAACTACAAAAGAAAAGAACGTTTATAAAGAGTGATCAAGACAATTGTTCTTTGGCTTTTTTTTTGTTATTGAACGTGTTAATCTATTGGTTGTAGTGGGTCCAGTTAGAGCATAATCCATATGGGTAGAAGAGGTACATGACAAGGAGGAGATTAAGGGTAAAAGTACAGTATGCGTGATCTTCATATCAATTTACATTATTCATATATCGAATGGTATGTAAGTCAATTTTTCTAAACTAACATAAGATGAGAACAAGTTGAAAATAAAGAAAAGTGTGCTAAACTTTTGATCCATTGGGAAAAAATATTTTGTTTCCTGAAATCTGAGTACTTCTTTGTAACTGCATATTTTATATGGTTGTGATCGCCTAGGATATAGGCTATCTATAACACACCTTGAAACTTTATGAAAGTCTTTCGTTTCGGAAAAAAAATAGGAAATAAAAAGTGTGCTAAACTTTTGAGTGCTAAACTTTACTATGGCAGAATTCAAAAGGTAAAACAACCACAGCGGTTTTTGAGAACGACTTGGAAATCCAACTGATTATTTTGTTTCACAAGTCTAGTCGCATCTGGCAGACCAAATTTTTTTGTGCATAACGATCCGGACTATTCACAAAACGTCATTTTTTTCATAGTTTGATGGTACCTTTCTTACAGTTAACCCTATATAATTAGATGCATAACTTAAACAAGAAAGCTACCTAGTGATTGTACTTGAGCCAAGTACTTAGGTGAAGTAATGAGACACCTAAGCGTAACACAAATGGAAAACGCAGCATTCCACCTTCTACGCTCAGTTTTGAGAAACATCTTCACAGCGAAAAATCGGGGAAATCACTTTTTTAAGTAACTTTTCAATTTTGTACCACAAACGAAGTGCTTCTCAAGCTTGAATTTGGAACAGGAAATGTAGGAAGTTTGTCTACTAGGCTCAGCTTTGTACAACTAGATCTCCAGGAGAAAAAATACAAAAAGCGTTTTTTAGTCAGAAGACCGGCCTCTAGAGACCCGATACTCGTGGAAAATTTTTAGAAAACCAATTTCCCAACATTTCATGTTCCAGACTCAAGTCTAAGAAATGCTTCTCTCATGGTGAAAAACACTTATTATTGTTACTTAGTTATTTTAAATTTGGTCAGTTATTTTTATTAATAACAAGAAAGAGAATGAAAAATCTATATATTTGTATGAGCTGTTTCTCTTTTTTCACCTCGATTTAAAACTAACTATATCGCTTTGGTATCTAGCGGTTTTGTTTTTGAACAGCCAGATGAATCATACGCTTAATCGCTAGATGTATCTAATTCTTATTGTTTTTTATCAACAATAATTGCTTAATAGATGCATCGGGTATTGTATCGTATAACTAGGTCAAATCCGATGTATCTAGCGAATCAAGTGAATACTTGGCGAGTACTTGAACAAGCACTTGGAAAATGACATACTTATCAAGTTCTTATCCAAATGCTTGTTAAGTGAGGAAACATGTCACGTACTTTTCAAGTACCCGGCGGGTAAACAAGTATTTGCAAAAAGTACATTCATTAAGGTACCGACTGTATTCTTCCGAATCTTTCAGAATACATCACGTATATTTCGGTTGATAGTATTACATTAAGTAAAAAAGGGGAAAAATGGTTAATCTTTAGCTGCTGCTTGAGCATCTCCGATCCCGAAAAGCGTCCAACAATTGCTGAAAACACTCAAGGTACACAGCCATACGACGATGACTCAAACAATGAAAAGCCAGTTAGGTACTCACCAATGCACTTGAAATTAAAAAAGAGACTCATTTTTGAATTTTTACTTTTCGCTATTTTTACTTTCGGCTATGTTTACTTTCTACTGTCGACAAGCTCATGTCCGAAGCTTTATTATTATGTTATTATTATTAAATGGGTTCAAAGAAGAATTTTATTCACGCGTAAACATTAATATCTATGAAATGGATAAATTTTATTTCTTTTCATGTCAGAAGATTTACACGAAATATCATTAGTTAAACTATTGTCCATTCAAAAAAAAGAATGGTATATGACTATTTTTCGAATAACTTTTGATAGAAAAGAGCTAGAGCACTCTGGTTTTCACCATTCGAAAGAAGAGACTTGGATACATGTTTAGATAATCAAAAGTTTATCAGAGGAGTTTTTCTAAAACAGATTTGCGAGGAGTTGTTTGGAAAACCAGATCGTGTATAGAAATCCTTCAATAGGATTGTATTGATTCTTTTTCATAGGCTGATAGTGCGACGTGTCCTCTTGAAAATAGCAAACAAACGAGGTCTTGATTTCCGATAGTCCGGGCACTGTATCGGATTTCTTTCACCTAATGTTAAAAATTCACGACGAAAAGCATCAGAACGAGTTTAAAATCTCAGATTAATGCTGTCCGATAAATGTGATTATAAGATCGAAAAAATCAAAACAGCATATTTTTCTTAATAGGGTTCTCTAGAAACGCTTCCAGGGAATCTAAGGATTTGTAAATTTGTTTCGGCATCTCCTATAAACAGGATATACTACAGCCTAAACACTCTACATTCTGAGGTTTTAAGCTTCGGAACGAAAGAACAAACCTTTTAGATATTTTCTGGTAGTAAATATTCTCCACACATTTTTCTACCGATCTACGCAAGAACGAAGTTTTTACGTTGCAGCTTCAAACTGACCTAATAGGTCGAAATATTGTAACAATACAGAATAAACTATGTTGCCAATCAAAATAATCCTATAATTTCTTATGCACTAACTTTCTCTGAAATAGTCTACTCATTAACTGAAACCAATCAAAGGAAGACAAATCGGCCCTAAAGTTATCTCAATTAGTATTTTTATAATCAAAGATCTTTCGTTTGTACTTAAAGCAAATGTGTTTTACTAATCCGACAGAACAAAGTATCATAGGATCATCAGAACGAGTTGAAAATTTTTAAAGGATCTGTCTGTTTTTAGCTGAGTTGACCAGGTGTATGATATGAAAACACATAACGTGATGACTAAAAGTGAAAATCAGTCTATGTGAACAGAGAGCTCATACGCTATAAATACATTAATAGTAAGCTGAGTGAGTGTATGGCGTAACGTTCTTTGCTGAGATTCTTGATTTTGTGGACAAATAATGTGATTTACGACGAATTCATGGCAAGGTTTGTAATTTTTTTTCGATGGACCGAATGGAATTCCTGTAGAATGGCTATTAGTTAGCTCAAGTTCGCAAATGAAATTGTTATGTTGAATGATGAAAAGTACTAGTGTGTGGTCCTATAAAATATTCAAGAAGATGATAAGTCATCGTGTCAATATCTTATGAAATCATCTTTAGCACTACAAGTTGATCCTAAAACAAAAAAATTATTAGAAATGAAGCGTTTGATAGCGAAGAATTATCTTCACTGTCGCCGCCAGATTATTTATTAAGTGATCTTATTGTTGATTCGATTATTATATTAGATGGAGCTCATGATGAACCAAATTTCAAAAAATTTATCAGAAGTTTTTATTCGTCATTTAGTCATATTACGTTTAATGTTGAATGCAAAGAGATGGTGACGAGTATCGCATCGTCCACTTTTTCAAGCACATCAACAAAACAATATTTAACTGTAATGGAACAAATTGTTATGTTGAATGATAAAAAGGACTAGTGTATGGTCCTATAAATATTCAAGAAGATGATAAGTCATCGTATCAATATCGTATGAGATCATCTTTAGCACTACAAGTTGATCTTAAAAAATAAAAGTTGAATTGTTCCAATATAGTTAAATACTGTTTTGTTGGTATATTTGAAAAGGCGGATGACGCGATACTTGTCACCAACTCTTTGCATTCAACATTAAACGTACCATGACTAAATGATGAATAAAAGCTTGTGATATTTTCATCTTTCGTATATGAAATTCCATAAATAAGATCACGTCGCTTTTCATATTGCTCCAGTTGATTCAAATCATTTCGTACCAGCCTTAATTCATCTTTTAACTCGTTAGTCAATTGTTTAATTAGTTCATCTTGTCATTGACATGCTTTATTTACTGTTGTTTCAATCGATTGCATGAGTACATCAGATGTTAATAAGGATGTAAAAGTATTTTTGATTAACTGAGTTAAATTAATGTTGTTCATTGTCGTTTTCAACGATTTCGACTTTTTAAATAAAGACGAATTTATAGGCGATGGCGGACTATGACGAATAATACGTTGCATGGTCTAACTATGTGACAGTATAAAGAAACCTAACAGAATATGACTTGTCACCATGAAAGAAAAATGAAAAGTCAATAAATTGGAATAAGGTTTTTCTTTTTGATTCCGTCATGCGTGCAAACAGCACACTCAAATTTCTATTAATAAATCTGTTAAATAAATCTATTAATAAATATGAATGTACAGTGAATAAAATCATGGCGGATCAAACGAAGAAAAATACCATTCGCATTGACGAACTCATTTGTGCAGAAATTAAATTTCGTTTTTTTTCATTCGGTCATGCATGTCAAGAGCACACTCAAATTTAGAAACTGTCATTGTTTACAGATGTTTTCGGGGAAGTGGAGAAATGAAAGAATGTGACATTCATTATATGCCACTACCTCTTTTGAGTTTCTATTAATAAACCGTCCGTTTATAGCACACGAAAGACGAAGCAGTTTTCTTTTTTTCTTAGAAAGGTACATGATTCACGAAAAACAGGATGACGGGAGAGTCAATGGAAAAGAAACGTAGGGTGCACGTAAGACTGTGAAAGGCAAAGATATAAAAGTGTACTTGATTGCGTTGAGGTGATACCATTCAACAATTATTTTTGGTAACGAATAGGTGATGTAAGTTAAAAGTTTTAATTTTGTGTTAGGGGTCTCAGTGAGTATTTGCATATAGCCTGAATGGAAATTGAAGGGAAGGACTGGTGACCTGAAAAGTGTTTTACGCCAGATATTAAATTCTTAAATTCGTGCTCATTTCCAACGGAGATTTGGATTGAGTACCACTCGGTAAATTTGGCTCTTGAAGAGGGGAGTAGCGTTCTGCCTCCTGACGGGTAAGTCAGATTAAATGATGAATGGAATTTTCTTCCCTTCGCTATTATTTAGGTTGTTTTAATATCTTAGGTATTTAGATATTTTAGACCTTTTAAATAGTTTAGACATATACGTATTTAGGTAAGGCGCCGCTAATTCAAAAGAATTGCAAGTTCTTATTTTTCACTTAAAACTATATCATTCGATGCAAAATTTCACGGTGATTACGAATATCACCTTTTGAATTGATTTTGAT